AAACTTCTACCAAATATCTCGAAATGGGTCCTGCAGATTGTAGAGAAGGTTACAGAATCCAGTTCGGTTCTCGTCTGCCTCGTTTCAACGGGGTCATCCCCACACTAGTGGGCCCCGAGCAGGCTCTGGTAATGGAACAAGAAGTAGATACTCTCTTGAGGAAGGGGGCCATAGAACGTGTTCCTCCTCTCTCTCTCGAGAGCGTCCGGGTTCTACAGCCGTTACTTCATCGTTCCGAAGAAGGATGGAGGGGTTGCGTCGGATCTTAGATCTCCGTCTTCTGAACCGCGCTATCAAACGGCTTCGGTTCAAGATGCTCACTATCAGCAGATAGTATCTCAGATCCAGTCCGAGGACTGGTTTGTTACGATAGATCTCAGAGAAGCTTATTTCCATGTTTCCATCCTTCCTCAACACTGGAAGTTCCTGAGGTTTGCTTTCGGGGGCGAAGCATACCAATAGAGTTCTTCCCTTCGGCCTGTTACTCTCACCCCGCACTTTCACAAAGTGTGTGGATGCTGCTCTGGCTCCACTGCGACTCCAGGGCATCCGCATACTCAATTATATCGATGATTGGTTAACACTAGCTCAATCGGAGCAGATGGCGGCTCGGCATCGAGATGTCGTCCTCGCCCATACGAGAGAGCTGGGGTTAAGACTAAATGCCAAGAAGAGTGTTCTTTCTCCACTACAGAGAACCACTTATTTAGGCGTGGTGTGGGACTCAACCTCGATGCAGGCACGTCTGTCTCCTGCTCGAATCGAGTCAATCCTCACGACAGTCACGAGAGTAAGAGAAGGCCAGTCACTCACTGTCAAACAGTTTCTTAGGCTGTTGGGCCTGATGGCAGCGGCGTCCAACGTGATACCTTTTGGCCTGCTGTACATGAGACCCTTGCAGTGGTGGCTCAGAACCAAAAGATTTCCCCCGAGGGGGAATCCGCTTTGCATGATCAAGCTCAAGCGGCGATGCTTACGTGCCTTAGACATGTGGAAGAAACGTTGGTTCCTGGTTCAAGGCCCGACGTTAGGGGCTCCTTGTC